TTATGGGCCAACTGCTTGAGGGAGGCATATGTACCTCCACAGTAGAAGCATTGCACACCATGATTTGAAGACCATGGTTCGTCGTTTGATGGCAAAGAAATCAAAATTTCTGAATTCTCCTCAGCCCATCCAAGAAAAGCATGGCCTCCCATGGCGTTGCATTAGCAGCCTTCCTCGTTGATACATTCACCTTATTCGTGAGCAAATTGTTGCAAATTATAGAGACAGGATTTAATAACTTCTCTTGAAATGATCATGATACTACAGCAATATCTTGTTCTTTTCTGAGTTCTTTAAGGGCTTTTGGATGATAACTCAATTTCTACGAATATGGCCATGTGGTCGATCGCTGCATTTTGGCTGAGATCTTAGCCGGGGAGTAGCTATTTTCTAGGGATACAGATGAAACTATACTTCATAAGATAATTTAGGTACTTTCCATAGTGTTCATAGTCGATGCATGTTGAAATTTGTAATAGATTCTTATTTAGGTACTTTCTATTTCATTTTGCAAATTTGTGAGATCCTTGTGTCACGGGTTGGTTAAAAATCCTTATTAACACGACACTAACAAGTTTCAAAACTTAAGTAATGAATGATTGTTAGTTCAGTCTAACACTCAATGCGTGGTTGTGCAGAAGCGAAAAAAGTAATCAAAGAAGAGAAAGGTTAAAGATTAAGGAAAATTCTTATATCGCGCTTAAAGAGTTATACAATGTGTTCGCAAATGGAGGAATGCTAGCCAAAAAGTCTTATAAACTCTAGAAACTTTTACATACTAATTCTCTACATTTGGTTCTAAAACATTCTATACAAAATTTAATACCAGTAATGCCCAATTTAAGTTTAATTTTTTTAATATTAGTTAATTCAAATAAGAAGTAATGTATTAAGCACCGCGGGTCGGGGAAGTATGCGATTAGATAGAAAATGCAGAAATACAATGGTACAAGAGGTGAAAGAAAGTTGTAGCATAATATACGAAAAAAATATAATCTGCAAAAGTAGGTGGAATTAACAGGTACACAATTTGATATTGGGTGAAAATTTGACAAATTTTTTGAACTTTGTTATATTAGGTGCTGTATAAATATTTTATAAAGTAACCTGACATGTTCTAATTGTTGTTAATATAATAATGGATATAAATACCATTGATGCAGTTTATTTTTGCAGAATAATTGTACAGAGTTTAAAACACAAGGATACATATGACTTGGTGAGCGATTGAATGTGTGCCAAATACAATATAAAGCGCTGTAGTGCTTAAAATGTTTTAACATTGGATGAGTAGTAAACTATTAAAATTTGTAAATTTAAAAGAAGAATATAATGTATTTGGTTGTGAGCTAATAAATCTACACTAATTTTCATGAAAGTGATATTTGGTTGCAACCAATTGCTTGTGAAAGGAACAAAGAATATTAAGAACAGAGAGCAATAATTTGAGGTGCACTTGAGTGTGAAGTCAGGTTGAGAGAAGGAAACCAAGCACTTACAAAAGTTGAGTATCATTAAAAGTATGGTTATAGATATTATGGTACTTGCTAGGTTAGTAAGCACTTAGATATGTAATTAGAACCATAGTTATTAAACTCGATCCGACTCTGAACTGATTGACCTGGTGACCTGAGTATTAGATTGGGTTGAGTCTCTAATTTGACCGGACAAGTAATTGATTCGGTGTTTCAACCGAGACCCGTCCAATTTTTCAATTGATCCGATTTACATTTTTTTTTTTTAATTGTGGGTTTTTGTTTTTGAAACAAAATGTATAAGAGTATATGCCTTTGATAAGATTTATACATTGGATCTTCATATATATATATAGACTTTACCACTTGCTTAGTTTTTATTTGATAACTAAATATTTTTTTAATAAACTTATTTATTTTTTATTATACAAGTAATCCCTTTAACTTTTAAATCGACAATATTTGATTAGTTAGAAAATTACTTTATTTTTAAATAAAATAATAATGCTATATTTTTTAAAACAAGCAATATAAATTTTGTTTTATACTTGACTATATGATTTATTTATTTAAAAGTACGATAAAATGAAATTAAATCTTCTATTAATATCTATGTATTTATTATATATCTTTCTAAGTATAATAATTAATATCTAGAAGCACTTTACTATATTTTTATATATATTAAAATTATTTTTTTATTTATAAATATTGAATTAACACTCACCAGTAATTCGGTGATTCAATCCTCTACGAGTTCCTTACCGAACATTAGAGCACAGGGAACAATTTATGCCGCCATGCTTTGATATGAAAAACAATCAGAACGACGACGTTTAAACTGCCGGCTTTATTTCGACAACCGCCTCAGGTAACCTTTATTAATAAGAGGGTCTAGCTCCAATTTCTTGCCCTCTATAGCCAATTCCCAAATGGGCCGACCGTCGTCCGCTGTAGAAATCCCCCATGAACGGCGTCGTAGCGGTAGAGAATATTCCCCGGACCGCTACGTTTTCGAAGATTCAAGGCCTCGCCATCGTACCCGCAATCGCAGCCCCAGCCCTATCCGAAGCCGCAGCAGAAGTTTTAGCCGGAGCCGTAGTCGTAGTCGGAGCCCAATCTACAACCAACTCAAAGCACGACAGGCGCCGTGACCTACGAGCCTCTCCGGATTATTCCTACCCTACCAGAAGCCCTAGGTCTGAAACCCTAAAGTTGGAGAAGAAATACAACAACTACAGCGATACCCGGAAGAATTCCTACCTCGATCGCGATTATAGGAACGGGCGGTATGCGGAGTCGGAATCTGACGAGGAGCTGAGAGGCTTGAGCTTCGAAGACTACAGGAGCCTCAAGCGCCAGAAATTGAGAAAGATGCTGAAGAATTGTATTTGGAATTGTACTCCTAGTCCTCCCAGGAATCCGAACGATCCTGAGGAGGATGAAATCGCGGAAAACAGCGAAGTGGAAAAGGAACTTAGCAAGAAAGATGCAAAAAATGGGGATATTTTGAAATCGGATGCTAAAAGCGAGTCTGAATCTGAGTCAGCATCGGGGTCTACTGACTCTGAATCGGATGATTCGAGGTCCAAGAGGAAGGAGAAGGGGAAGGGGAAGAAATCGAGTTCTAGGCGTAAGAGGAGGAGGTCAAAGTCGGTTTCTGAGACTGAGAGTGAATCAGATGAGTCTAGTGAAGGCTCAGAGGAAGATCATCGTACGAGGGGAAGGAGGAAATCTTCTAGCAGAAATCAGACTAGGCGAAAGAAGAGCAGCAGGAGAAGTAGGAGGAGGAGGAGTAGTAGGAGGAGAAGTTACTCAGATGAAAGTGAAAGCGAAGATGAGAGTGGAAGTGAGGATTCTGATGCTAGTCTATCATCAGGAGATCGGGTGAAGTCTAAAAAGCGGAAGAGCTCTTCCTCTTCCAGGTCCAAACATAACAAGAAGAACCAGAGGAAAAGTCATTCAGATGAAAGCGAAAGCGAAGATGAGAGTGGGAGTGAGGATTCTGATGCTAGTCCATCATCAGGAGATCGTGTGAAGTCTACAAAGCAGAAGAGCGCAAGGTCCAAACGTAGCAAGAAGAAGAGGAAAACAGAATCCGATGACGAGGCCTCATTATCAGAGAAGAGTTCTGATTCTGCAGTTGATGCTAAGAGTAAACCTAAGCCTGCAGAGGAAAAGGTGATGTTGAATGAAGTTGATAGTGAGGTGCTTCAGTTTAAGGAGCTTATTGAGTCGAGGAAGAGAGCTGCATTAGAGAATGAGCCAGTGGTTGGGCCGATGCCGTTGCCAAGGGCTGAAGGGCATATTAGTTATGGTGGGGCACTTAGGCCAGGTGAAGGTGATGCCATTGCACAGTATGTTCAGCAGGGAAGCGTATCCCACGAAGAGGTGAAGTGGGTTTATCAGCTGAGGAGATTCAGAAGTTTGAGACTCTTGGATATGTGATGAGTGGTAGTAGGCATCAGAGGATGAATGCTATTCGTATTAGAAAGGAAAACCAGGTTTATAGTGCTGAGGACAAGCGTGCATTGGCCATGTTTAACTATGAGGAGAAGTCCAAGCGTGAACAGAAGGTTATGTCTGATCTACAGCGGCTGGTGCAGCGCCACATTGGGCAGGATGCTGGTCCATCTCACGATCCTTTTGGCGGGAGGTCCACTGAGGGGGCTGAAGCTTGATTCGAATGTATGATGTTTTATCTATCTCATTGAACTAAACTCTAGTCTTGGCTTCATCTTCCTTTCCTTTTATTATGTTTGCTTGGATTCGAAATAATGAGTTGTTTTTGGTACTTACCTGGGCATCAGAGTTGTGGGATTGTCTTAATTTAGCACGTAATGTATACTTGTACCATTGTGGAAATTAAATTTTATCTATATATCAGTTACTTTGGTGCATTCATGCTAAACAAATGTATGAATCCGTATTTACCATTGCGCCAAAATCCGGTGCTTTCATGCTTAAGGATAAAGATTAGGATGGTTGAATTTTGTTTGAGAAGAAATTTGACAGTAGTGCACTCGCGTCTAACCTCAAGATGCTACATACCTAAAGGTGCTAGCGGCTGGCTATTTAGCTTGACGTGTAGAAAGATGACTTTAACAACCCATAATCTCAAACCATATTGTTGAGGTAAAAGCTTTAATGCATGCTTAAACAATTACATCACCGAAGTTTAAACTGATGGAAATGTCGCATTTACAGAGAGCAGAAAAACCAGCTGTAGGTTTTTGGTAGGTACTTTTAATTTGAGATATAGGATTAGAACACTGCTGCTATGGAGTTGAGTAACGGGAGCTAAGCTATTAGACATTAACTACCCTACTCTTCACTAGTATAAAAAGGTTAATGAATCTATACAGAAGATTACGCTCATAAACGTGAGGTTAGCTTCCCTGAGCTGATGGAGAAGTCCAACGGGAAATTGGAAAAGGAAAAATGGACATATAATAATGTAATCGTTCCTTGACTACCATCTTAATTTCAAAAAGAATCATTAGATGACTTTTCATTCATCTCCAACTAAAACAAAGGCAGAATTCTCCGACATTGGCGAGGAGTCTCTCTCCTTACATACATTTTCTCGTACGGGTTAGGAGGTCTGGTAGAACCATCTTGGATGCTGCCCGCATTTTTACCCTCCCTCCGTGGTCTTAGTTCGTTGACTATGGAGCTCCATCCTTCAGATGGCTGCCCCAGGGAGTGTTTATGGCGAGTAATCCCCTTAGCCATCTGTAAGATCCAAGCAAAATAAATCACGCATGAAGAGTGATAAAAATTGAGTAACAGATTCATAGAAAATCAACCTTGACTCTGCAATGACAAGATAATCTTTGCGTTGAATTCAGAAAGTGCTTCTTCAATATGAGAAATGATAGAGATTCATTCCCTCGTACACAGAGTTTTGTAGGCTTGTGTTACTAGTTCCACCCATTTTCAACATTTGGGAGGTCCAACTACTCTCTTTTATTTTCATTTTTTGTACATGTTAGATCCTAGTATTCGGTTGCCGAGGCAAAAGTTCGGGTTACAAGCTTACCTTCATTTTGTTGTACTTCTCACATTCCTTCATGGATACATAGGAATGGACCACATTAGGGTCTCCAGTTGTGGCATCCCGAAGATCAGACATGACATTCAAGTCAGGATTGCAAGGAAGAGATGCAACACGAAACTCTCCGTCACGAGGCTCGGAGAACCTGCAGAAGAAGAGCTGAGTTCAGAATTAAAGGACCAGTAATATATTAAGGAATGATTAACTAACTGGCGGTGGTGATGTAAATGAATAGAAAACCAAAATTACAACAACATTTATACCCATGTGGACATTGGCATTCCGAGGATAGTGATTGGCGTCTGGAATGTTGTGATAACCTCTGCTTGCTTCTTTCAGATTGATGTGCCAGGCCATAAGTTATATTGGCATGGACGTAGTACTGTTTTGCTCTCATGAATGCTTGCATCCTTTTACGTACCATGTATCCTCTAAACAGGGCTTGTACCCTCACTAGCGATTTCAACGCCCTGCGAGCCCGCCTTGCCTGATTCGCAACAACTTCCCATTTGTCACAATGTATTCATAGTTACACATGAGAAACAGGAAAACATTACTACTACTACTACAATTACAACTCTGAATTGATTACCAAGTGACCGCGATACGCGCTCTGAATCTTCATGGCAGCCGAGGTTTGGAGGTCTGTAACCCTGGGTTCAGTGATGAGCCTTCTACACATTGCAACTGCAGCATTTGCGGTGGCAATGACAGCGTTAGCAGCTGCAACGGTGGAGGCTACCATTGCAATTGCCTCCTTGCATTGCTCAGCATTAAGAGATGATGGAGTAGTGGTCATATGGGAAGAAGTTTCTCTTCTTCTTAACCTTTCACCATCTCTTCTGCCATCACCAGATTTGGTACCGGAGATCATGGAGCTCTCTTCATTCTCCTTTTCCTTCTTGTTAAGCCCAAAACAGGGCTTCAACCAACTTGTTATTCTACCCATTTCCTATTCTCCAAAGCAACGGCGTAAGATTTTTTTTTTTTTTTTTTTTTTTTGACAATGAGAGCTGGGAGGTTTGCGTTTCTGAAAAAGCAGAGCGAAACACCGATGGATGATGGATGGGAATGTGGTTCTCAAGCCTCTTAAAATAGTGAAACTTGCAGTGATCACCGGCTCTGTCCCAACTCGTTTTCCGGGCTGGAATGTTGCTAATATTTTGGGATTGATAATTTCCCACGTTATTAGGGAATTTAAACAGGAGGAGAAAAAAAAAGAAACTCATTGTCCGGACTGGAAGGTTGCTAATATTTCACTATGTTGATTGCAATTTACAATAGGATTTTGTTGTTGATTTGGGTAATTCTCAAATCCAGGTCAAACTCTCAATTCACTATGTTGATTTTTTATGTTCAATTGTGCAAAATTTTTAAAAAGCGATAATATACAAAAATCCCAATTAACCACTTGCCAAAAGTTTGTGTGTGTGTGAAATTTTTCTTTTTTGGGGCTGGGAAGAAAATATATGCATCAAGGCAAATTAAATTTTTAGTGCTTTTTTCTTATTATTATTATTTTTTGCTTTCTATTGAAAACTTAATATTTTGTTTAATGTAATGACTACTTCATTTGAGCTAGACATAAGCGACAGATTTGATAAATTCAAACAAATTTTGCTGAGATTAATAATAACAAAGTTGATAATGGTAAAATTTAAGTTTTAAGTAAATTATATTGGAATAATAAAAACTATGCTTTTCTTACACTTTTCTCTAAAATAAAATGCAAAATTTTTAATAAATTTATATATTTACTTCCACGAATAGATTGAACTCTGCTTTTTCTTGTGGTTCAACATGGCAGATTGGGTAACCTTATGGCAAAAAAGCATCAATTGTGGGGATAAAATTTGAGATTGAATCACTTTGGAAGTATTTTATGGAAAGAGTCAGTATTATTTTGGACAAAAACTCCAAGAGAAGACTTCCATAAATTAGCTATTATAGACTCGATCAATTGTTTATTTTAAAATGTTAAGACATTTGGTGGAACTGGTGATAGAATTTAAAAGATGTGCTTATTAGAAGGGAAAAAAAGAAACGAATGACTGGAAGAAAAAACCCAAATACGTTAACTAGTCTATAATTATGCATAACTTTTTTATCTTTGTTATTTTTTCACCTAAGGATATCCCACAGGGATCGATCATGGGACCTGCTAGTAACTATCAGGCTACGGAACCGATCGAACTACCTGCAGGGGCAATTAAGCACAACTTATTGAAGATTTTCAAGTTTGATGAAACTTGCTCGTCCTATAAAATGTTCTTGAAGAAATTTTCAGATTCACTAAACGTTGCTCATCCTATCTAATATTTCATGGAAGGATGGATGTTTCAATGCATCGGACTCTATCCCCACCAGTGTTCTTGACTTCTTTCTAACAACATTAACAACATGGCATCGCAAACATATGACAAAACTCTCCACAAATTGTTTTTGGAGGATTTTCAAGCTTGCTCACCCTAGCTAATGTTACGATTCTCTCTTTAAGTCATGATTTGTATTCTAATTATAAAAACACAAAAAAAAAAAAAAAGGACATTTGTTGTTCGGTTCGTCTTGAAACTTGTCCAAATTTTCTGATTTTTTTGGGGTCTAATATACTTACACTACGCTTGTACTCCATAGGTGACTAACTATTATTCAAATTTTCTTGTTTACGCTAATCCTAGTAAGTCGGACAAATAGTTACTTGTAAATCGAACAGGAGTGACAGGTTGTTCAAAGTTCAAGCAAGAGAAGCTTGAAAATCAGTTTCATTCATACCATAATTTGCTGGACATTGATTTTAGGAAGCCTGTAATACAAAGATAGGAAACAAAATAAAATCAAGAGAATTAAGAAAGCTTCAGGACTTGAAGTCATAGCTTTGATCAAACTCAACACACAAGAAATATCCCAGCACCCCCTTTTTTCACAGTGATAGGCGGACTCAAAGAGTGATAACAGCAAAGCTTACATTTGAAATTTTGGCAACTGGGTTTCATAAGGTAAGAGCACGCAGTTTCTTATGCAATACATTAGGCAGCAGCAATTTCAAGAAAAGCACAAGTTATGGGCTCATGTAAGTGTTGCAAAAATTGCTCTTAAAGGGAGCAACTCTTGTCAACTTGGCGAGTAGCTTGAACTCCTCCTCTTCAATTCTCAACAATTCATCATCTGCCACTGCCAATTTCAAACACCTGTCCAGATATCTTGGTCCAGGAGATCATAATGCAAGATTGTGTTCCTGCATAGCAGGACAAGACATTTAGAAAAGAAGTTCACGTTGGGTGTGTTAGTAGTATATGCAGCTCCCTCTCTCTTTTGGCTCACACACATTAAAACAGGCAACCAAATTGAAGAGTGACTTCTTCTCGAGGGCACTTGGGTATTAAACACAAAAGCACATGGTAGTGGCAACCAATGGTTTTTATGTTAACAAGTGGATTTTGTTTGGAAGATGTCTTGACTGTTCTGTTCAATAAAGAGAAGCCTCCAAGCATCAAAGTTGTTTTCAGCCACGAAAATTAACCTTGGAGGACTAATTCAGGCTTGACTGGATCATATAAAAAACCACAGATGTAGCACAATTGATGCAGCTTTACTATTGGGACTAGAAGTCTAAACATACTAATGCGGAAATGTAGATAATAAAAGAGCAGACGTCTGGTTTTGATAATGTAATGCGAGTATTTGAAGGAATCCAAGAATACCTTATACCTGGAACTGGATGGTCCTTAAACCCACGACTTATAGAGATGAAAACAACATCCTGACTGCCAACTGCCTGTAAGACAAGTAAGAACTACAGCTTATCATTCTTTGTTCCTTATACCTTTTTCAAAGAACTAATAACGTCATAGAATTTTCAGCTTGTGAGTTAGATCATATATATCGCCATCACGCTAATGCAACTGATCTATTATTGGTTCTGCACTTATGTCATCCGGTAATCAGATATGTCATGACTTATTATGCGAATTCTTGACACAACATAACAACTGAAGAACCTTATCAGTTTGGTGTAACATGCAATTAATCCTTCCAACAAAGTCTCAAAGAGTTAACAAAGTACAAATCAATCTCATATACAAATCAGAAATAGTGAAATTTACTTGTGGTTGAGTCCAAGTGTATCATCCATTCTTCCTCAGGCATTATAATTCACAAAACACCATCCCTGATGGACAGCAGTAATTTGCTTATAGTGTCACTTTCAACTAAATGGTACAAGCAGTTAAAAACAATATGTATAGTCTGCCTTGTGGCTTATAGATCAAAGTAATATGTAACTAACACAAATTTTCATAAATTATAAAATCATCCGCAAGTCAGCAAAAGAATAGAATACTAATAATTGCAATTTCATGATAAGAAAAGAAATCAAAATTAACCACCAGAGAAAGAAGAGAAAGAAATCACGAGCATTTTTAAGCACGCTTATGATGTATGTCAGAATTATCCTAAAACATTCAAAATGTTCAGTTGCCCAGAGTTAAGTGCTGTTTTCTCCAAAAGATAAGATTGGTAATATTTTGCACAAAGAAGGATCTTTCATATTTCAGAAAATCATTGATAATTTTCAGCAGAAAATTGCAGGAAACACTTAAGTAAGTGATTAGCAAGTGCTAATACATTTCATATTATACATGCACGAATTTAAAATCTTGCATTGCAGCTTCATGAGCATTTCTACCAAAAGGAGAGTGGAAAAAAAAAGTAGCTCAGCACGTCCAAAATAGTACATGATGAGATCGTCCACATACCTTTCCAAGCTGTGTCCCCAGATGCTTGATTACAGGACGCATGTGCTACCAGCAAAAATCATAAACATCGTGTTTTATAGAATCTTGATGTCTTTCTAGGTTTAGCACTCTACAGCTCCTCGACAAGGCCATTCAAAGGATCTGATGTAGTTACACCATACCTGCAGTAATTCCAGCTTCTTAACTGCCAGCTGCAGGGAAAAAAAATTACAAGTGTAACTCCGTGTACTTTACATCAGATGAATCTTTCTTTCTGACAACCCACAAAAGGAGCATAGGAAGCCTAATCATTGGGTGAGTTTGTCCAAGTTAGCGATTTGGAATCTGATATACTAAATGAACCAATGGGCTTGTCAATTAGGCAATTTATCTCAAAGTTCTGCATACCAGTAGTAATGCCATCCTCCTCTTCATGTCAAGCATCTATCAAACCCATCTGACAAGTCTGTGTCTGGGTTTAGCTCTTGCAAAAGTGTCCAACTTCCACACGTCATCTAGTTTCCATCTCGCAATATGGCTATCAGACCAGAATATAAATCAGAACTAGAGCAAATTTGCATCTCTTCATCTGTAGAAACCAGCCCCTGATGTTCCTGATTTCTTGATGACTCAATTAAAGGAACAGACCTCAACAGATCAGAACTTGGGCTAATTTTCATTTCTTCATCTCCGTGAACCTGCTTTTGATTTTCTTGACTTGTTGATGACTCAGCCAATGGAACGAATCTCGAGCCCTTAGAAGCTAGGCTCCTTTTCATCAAAGTACTGAATAGCAACTTGGATTCTTCAGTTCGACCTGACTCACATAAGCCACTCAGAACCATCTCATGCACAGCAAAATCGGCAATAACTCCTTTCTCCTCCATAAGTTTTAAAAATGAGAAGGCTTCACCTACTTTTCCTTGTTTACAATATGCACCAATTAAAGTATCAAACGTGCCACGGTCAATTTCAAATCCTTTATGGTTCATTTGAGTGACAAGTTCTTGTATCACCTCAATTTTTCCAACCTTACAGAAACCACAAACCAAAATCCTGTATGTGTCAGCATTTGCACCAATACCCCTCTTATCCATAGTACAGAAGAACGAAAATGCTCGTTCTACATTATCCAATCTACAATAGCCTGCTATAATCAAATTACATGTGTACACATCCATCTTGAATCCCTTATCAAGCATCTCAAAAACCATCCTTTCGGAATCTTTAACTCTACCGGAACTTGAAAATCCATCAATTAAAAATTTGTAAGTCTCAACACTGAATTCCACGCCTTCTCTTCTCATTAACTCCAACGTCTTATCCAATTCGTCAAAATTCCACCTCTTGGCACAAGCATCCACCAATGTATTACACGTAATTATATTAGGCCTTATTCCATAACCGACCATTTTCTCAACTAATTCTCTAGCCCTTCTAATCTCACCACTCTTACACAGGGCATCAACAACAACTGTCAATGAAAACACCGAAATCTCAATTCCAGACTCTACTATTCGATAAAAAAACTCAATTCCCAACTCCAACTGATCACATCTCGTTATTTCGATCAAAAGTATAGTGCAAGTTCTCTCATTTATCTCAACACCATTATTTCTCATATAATCAAATGTCTGCGTAGCCTTATTGAACTCTTGGTTATCAGAGTAAACTTTAATCATCAGATTGAAAACTTTAGCACGAATAAAAGGCTTATAACAGTTATTCTGAAAGAATGAAGCAATAGCAGAAAATGGGCACCTGCCATTCTCATGAAGAATCAAGAATGCCCTCAAAAGATCCTCAGCATCCTCAAACTTTCTTGATTTGACAAGCCTGCAAAGAAGGGTCAAATGGGTCTCAATACTGAGCTGAAAAGAGAGTAAAGCTTGGTTTTTCACAAGGAAATTGAAGAAATCAAGGCATTTGGGAATTTGTATACGAGGGTCAGAGAGAATGAGGTGGACAAAGTTGGAGGTAAGCTTGGAGAGGAGATTGGTGGTGGTTGCTGGGATGGTTTGAAAAGTTGAGGTGATCAGAATTGCGGATATAATGGTGTCTGCAATTTTGGCTTTGGGGTTTTGAGAAGGGTTTGGGAGTTGGCATTTTTTAACAGTTCTGAGGTTCTGGAGGAGTTTTTGGAGTGACATCCTCCTCCGTCCTGCCCACTGTTCCTGGTTGGATTTTTGTAGGAGGAGGTGAATGAATTTGGTGGGCCTCAATTCCCATTTTCATTTTTTCAACTATGCAAGAGATGGGCTTCTTGCTTATATCCGTGATTTGTTAGGAAGCATAGCCCACTTCGCATTCAAATGATAACCCAAAGAGAAATTCATGTTCAGATGACAAAATACTTGACTTGGTCAGATCTCATATGATCCACGGTTCCTTTGGACTCCTTATATTTGATCATATAAGTTTTATTATGTACGGATGTGACAGTAATGAAGGATTTGTAAGAATTTGATTGATGGACTTTACTACGTCTTTTCTAGATGATGATCCTTTTTTTTTTTTTTTTGTGTGGTGTGTTGGGGGCGGGGAGGGGTGTAATTTTAGAAGGCTCTCTTTGAGATTTCTAACAATTTCATTCGCCTTCCTTGAGGTTTGCAAAATAACACTAACCTCCTCTATAGTGTCATATTAGGGAAAAATTAGTCATATACCCTAACATATTATGTCCTATTGGAAATTAACATTTGGCAATTAAGTAATTAGGGAACCAATTAACTATTAATTGTTTGAGATTTTTTTTTAAATAATGAACAGTAACTTGCAATTACAAAATGGTGTTAATTGATGTACTAAATATTTGTTCACTCCCAAAAATTGATACACCAAAAGTAATTTATCTGGACTTTCTGTACTCTAAAAAATGGTTCATAGTTGCCTTGCAATTACACTTGCAATATTTGTTCTTGATGCTAGAGAATGTGGGAGAATTTTACGATTTCCTCCTTGATTTTGTTACCAAAACTTTAATTTCATGGGAGGTTAGTGTAATTTACAAACCTCAAGAGAGGTTAGTGAAATTATTAGAAATTATCACCCCCCCCTTTTTTATATATATATAATGGATCTTTTTTCCACTCTTTTTTTTTAGTATAAACGGAAGGTTTTGAACTCGAAATCTCTCAGTTATACTCTCTCTCTCTCTCTGTACTGTCCAACTTATCTATCTTCCCACTTTTTATCCCACCTTCTATTACATTGCCATGTATTTTTTTTTGTAATATTCCATTTAAATTTTTTCAATGTTAAAAAACAAAAAACGACAATAAGAAAAAGGTACAGCGCAAATTGCTGTATTTTGTTTTTTCAGTCAGTTATATACTTTTTTTTTAAACCTAGGACTAGTTATGGGAACCTTTTTTCTTAATAAAAGTTTGAGTTAAAATGGAATTCTTATGAATGAGACATGGCAGCACAATAGAAGATCGGAGAGGAAGCATGGTATAAAAGTGGGAAAGAATATTAGGGTCCTTTTTTGCAGGATTCTACTCGCCTCGAGCCTTAGGGTTAAATAATGGGGAGAAAAGGCTGTAAGATGGTGACTGGTGAGTGGGCATGGAGGTTCAAGTTGTTTGGTCCTGGCTTCTTTTGTGCCCCACAAAAAACTTTTTTCCTGTGATGCATATTATAAACAACGTTACAAATGTGTCAATTTGTACTTCTGCTTTCCTTCACGTCAATTTTTTAAGAAGATGCTTTATACTAAGCTGATTCCCCCATTTAAATAGTATCTTCTTTAACGTGCTTTGTAGCGAATTTGCCCATTCGTCTCTAAACTTGTTTTAATCTGTATCTTTGCAATGGTGAACTTCTAATACATACTTTTCAACTTCGTTCTGTGATTTTATTTGTACTCTTCATCAGAATTTGAGCCATGCAATGCATTTTTGTTTTTGTTTTAAAAAAATCCTGGAAGAGAATTGGTAATGTGCACTAATCCTGAAACTATTCATGCTTCATCTTTCTGAAACATCAGCTTAATTTTTACTGGTTCACTAATCAAATCTCCAAATGAATAGATGCCTCAAGCTTTTATCTCTTTAAAAACAAAATAGGTTAATTACCATCTTCACCCCAAAATATGAACTAAATCGGTTTTTGTTGCTATTTGTCTACTATAAATATCTTCAAGAATCCTCCTCGGTCAGGAGCCACCGAAATGCAGTCAGCTTCCCTACAACACAGTTTTGCAACTAATCATCGAGCATGACATGGATGCACCATTTTTAGCAAATACACAAGTACAATAGATATACAATATATGCAACATGATATCAGCTGGCTTAACCCCTTAATTGGGACAAATTTGAACACCATTCATGTCCTTAGAGCTCTTAATCTGTAGCTGAATCTTATGTTGGAAATAGTAGCCAAACCAGGAGTGGTGTTGGACTTCAGTTAATCTTGGGAGTTGGATCGAAGCAATATAATGTGGTTAGACATAATGACGGTGATGACAAACTAACTAATTAAAGATGGCCCTTGTATGGATGGAGGGTAATCGTTTTGCCATTCTTTTGGCTGGAGTCAGAACAACTTTGTGATAAGTGGTGGAGAAGATGCTCTTTGTCCAAAATCACATTCAGCTTCTCTTCTTTTCTCTCTAATTTTCACCAGGCCCCTGCTAGATTTCATCTTGTTTGTACCATTAGATTTCTTGACTATGACTCAAATGGTCATTCACTTTGCCATTTATACGCACATTGCATGGCATCTAGGACCACTGAGAATAGCAGGACCAGTCGTAGTACTACTACTATTAGCTTTCATTTCAAAGTTGTCGATGAGATCATATAGCTTTACCTTTTTTTTTTTTTGTTTCGCATATGAAATTAATTATTTTCTCAAGTAAAATAGATTCTTGATTGGCTATAATTTTTCAGGCGAATGGCCATCTTTCAGAGAGAACCCCCTTTCATTCATCAGGATGCAGACCAGTAACGTGGCTACCCCTTGGTTTCTTAGCCTTTAAATCCCATCTGAGCTCTGCGATGTTATTCCTCTTGCCCGTCTTCTTTAACATTGCGACAATGGCCTATCTACTACTTTCCTTTCACCTTGGACTTGAACAGATTTGTTGACTGCTCTTTGGACGTGATAGTCAGCAGAATGAATTGATGGAAATGATACTGAATACCAGAACTTGAACTCTTTCTTGGCATCTCTTAATAACTTCGGTAATATCATCTCAAGATCAACAAGGTGATAGAAAATGCATAATGTCTTTAGGGCAAGCAGAAACAGGATGATTAACTTCTGTTTCCAGTTATATGTAACAAATGATAGCTTTGTTTTAAACTAGGGATGGTAACAAAAAGCATATCAGTGATTGGTCGCCATGCCTAAATAACGATAAGAACCAATATTACTGGATCCAATGTTCGTGCTAAAACTATTCGGTTGTCTTCCAAATAGAGCAAGTGTTCCTACATTTATAAGTGGAGTAGGTTGTTCTAAGTTAAGGAGTGATATCAAGTCAAAGATCGATTTGAAAGAATATTAATCAATAATTTTCAAATATTATGAGAAGACTTATAGATAAATAAAGTAGTCATATATACATATATATGTATGTATGTAAATGTACAGATTTTTTTGGCAGAATGTAATGTACGATTTACAATGTATTTTCGCTTTTGTTGCTTTTGGACAGCTTTGACCTTTTAAAAAGAAATCATCACATTTTCAAAACAATCGAAATGAGTCTTGACCCCTCTGTGTGTGTGTGTGTTTTTTTTTTAAAAAAAAAAAAAAAATTCCTTGTTTAGTGTAGGAGAAGAATATTCCCGATTGGAGTAAAAGAATTAGTTTGGTCAAATAGGAAATTGGTCCTCAGTATGTTATTCCTTCTTGTTGAAACCCTTCTTCAGTTTCTTTCTTGATGTGGTTTCCAATTCTTACATTCTCATGAAAGGACCAAATCATCAAAGCTGAAATGAATCAAATTGATCCCCACGCACTCCTAATGGATTGAAATTGATCACATGAAAACACTGAAAATAATCGAATCCCAGAAACGTAATTTGCAAGTTTCACCTGTGGTAAATACTTGGAACAGTGGTCAAGAAATTTTATAGACGCATCTCGAATGATTATTTTGTTTTGTAAGCCCATTTTAAACAAGTTTAAATTAAACAACCTTAAATCCTGAAACTTGGAACTGTGATAGAATAGTAATTCTTGAATAAATTGAAATTATTCTATACACTAATGTTGTACTATAGTTGATTTTCTATTTGTTAACCCTCCCGTTCCTTCTCGTACCCTTTTCATCCCTAATTGCAATTCAAACTCTGAATTTAGCAATGACAAAAAACTTTTAGGACTTCCTCCTAACCACTGAATTGACCCATGTTTACCGGAGTCGAATGATGAGAGTCGCATTCCATGCAATGAAGAAGAAAGAAACACACTAAAGTGACACAATTTACAGAAATCCAAGAACTAAAGATCCTCATTTTCTGCTTAAAAAGTACAAATACTTGTTTTTCAGCATTGAAGTAGTTCCCCTTCAGCAAATGCTAACACCAAAAATGACTAACAAGGTTTTGGTGAAGCAGAGAACAAGATACAAACCTACTTTCAGTTTCTGTTAAATTTCCCCAGTCTCCTCAACAACTGATAACCATCGATAACGAATGCTAGGTTTTTGGTTCATGAATGGAAATGCTCCAACTAAAAACCTGTTAAGCTCATAATGCGTCATAAGACGATCTTTACAATGATTGCATCATCCGTTTCACTTAACGATCAAATCATTTCCAAGGATCTTTATATCTGAAGTGCATGCCAATTTGTTCCCCCGTAACGAAAATATTTGTCCCATAAAATGTAGGTTATGACAGATGAAGAAAATATATGCCAATACGAGTGCTGGGAAACGGAATAAAATACTAGCAAGCAAACTATTAGTCCCAGCAATTAGCCTGAAAATCTCTGGATTGGTACATCAAGATTGTTTGCATGCTTCACAGGTGAAACCCATATTGTAAAGCGTGGGCTATTACTTTCTGCTGTTCTCTTTTCCGCTACACAACGGAAGTTCCTCCATAGCCAACTACGACTAAAGTGAGATTTGTACGATTGGTGAAGGAAATTCTCATGTCATTAGTGATCAGTTGGAGAGGCAATGAAACAGGTCGTACGTTGAAAA